TTTTCCAAAGCTACCTTCTAAAAAACAAACCCAACAATGCTTACAGTTTTAATCTATTTGAGGAAGCAAGACAAAAAAGAGAAATGTTTTAGACTTTTTGATATCCTGAAGGACAGTCAATTGGAGCATATAAAAAGTGATTTGAGAGACCCTATAGGATAATGCTCAAAATTAGCGTTTATAATTCCAGAGCATGTATGAACAGAAGCTGACAATCTTTGATCTGGGTAAAAGCTAGCAGAGTTTAAAGTTTTGTTAGATTTAGCTTTGCTTTCTGAGATTGGGGTCCTACTTAATAATCTGATGTTTTAGATATAGCATGTGAAAAATGGGAATTATCAGATTCAGGGCATGAGTTTGAGTCAGTGACTGTAATTAAATGTTTTTTTGCTGTAGATCTTTCCAAAGTGAAGCTGATGAGATTCGATGATCCAGTGTTGGGGCCGAGGCGAGTTCCCGTCCTGGGAAAAGAGCTGACTGGGAAGACGCCTATTTCTGAGCATGCTGTCTTCCACGTGGACGTCGTGAGCAAGGACGTCCATCTTACTGAGAACGGGCTGCGGGCACATATTGGTGACACATTGGTCTACCTGGTTCACTAAACCCACACAGATGGCAGATTGGCCCTGGTCTCTGGGGATACTTCTACTTTGTGCCTACAAATGGGCTGTGAGACCCGTAGGCTGGACCTAAACAGATTTCATTTCTACCCATCAAATTCTGCATGTAATCATTATTATACCAACTCATTTTGGATTCCTGGACCTAATAAATTTTTTTTTTTCCTTCTTGAGACTTCTAAGAGAAATAGTTTATATTATACTTAAAACAAAAAACAAAAAACACCACACAAATTATTCCTAATTCCAAGATGCTTCTAGTCTTTCACATTAACACAAAAGTGTCAGCATACTTCTTTTGTGAGATGTGTTTTATACTTATAAAGGCTAAGGAATATTTGACAACTTTTTATATTATATCCATTATGGAGTTAGCAGTTTCTTCTTTAAAGAAAAAAAAAAAAATAGGTTTAGCTAGTTTTGTTTTTTAAAGAAAGGGACTCTGATGATTATTTAAAAGAACAAATAAGAATATTTTGACCTGACTGCGATCACTAAGTATTCTGTGTAAAGAACAAAAAGGTCTTATAAGAAATTTTTAGCTTTAATATGTTCAGTTTACCACCAATAATGTTTTCCAAGGCTAATGTTAATGGTTTATAAACAGTTTATTTCAGCTACACTAAATTTAGGCACTTTTTAAAGGGGGATCTCCTCCCCCCATAAAATTGCATTAATCAAATTGTCTTGGGTCCAATTGTGTTTAAAGGCCATATCAACTGTATTGCAAATTTGCTTTTTTTTTTAATATTGCTGTAATGCCTTTCGATATTGTCTGTGCCATCTGTCTTCATAATGAGGAAGATTACGTATTGATTGGCAGGGGAGAGAAACATTTCCATTTCTTGAAGGGTTCGATATGGGAAAGACCAGTTTTGGTAACCTAAGGAGCTGTATGCTAACTTCCGGGTCACGTGGAGATTTTATTGAGCTTGGTTATTTTGCTGTGTGCAGTCTGAGATTTCTGGGCCTCATTGAGTGCTTTGTCATTAAAGCAAATGGTAGAGTGTTAGAGCTGACAGAGCCCTTAGAGATCACGTGCAAATCCTCCTCCCTGTGGGCAGGCACTGTAGCATGGCAGGTAAGATGACCTGTGCCAAAGTCAACTGGCTCGGTTAGATTCCCATGCCTTCCATTTGCCACGTGGGCAACATCGGCCAATTCCTTAGCTTGTGTCTCCATCTATAGAACAGAACTAATAATATACCTACTTTCTGGGCTTATTGAGAGATGTTGAGATGATAACCATCTGGGAAAATCATATATATATATAGGATAGTGACTGGCACGTGGTAAGCTTTCCGTAATGCCCCTGAGATGATGGTGAGCTCAGTAAGTGCTAGTGATGAATAATGATAATAACTACCCAGGGTGTATGGCTTAAGCTTTCTGTAGGTTACAGTCACGTCATTGGTATCGGTTCCTTTGGGGCAGCTGCTTTGTGGTTTGCCCTCCTTTAGGTCTTTTTGCTGCTCCCTCAATCTGCGTAGCCCAAGTTATTCCCCACATCAAAGTAGGTTTTCCTGGTGCCTAAACAAGCCACTACGTTTAACTGAAGACAACTGAACTGGGTTTTTGGGGGGGCGGTGGGGAGAAAGAAAGTAATTTTACTATTGTGAGTAGCTGTGCTTGCATTACTACCAAAATAAGCCTTGAACCTTGGCTGCCTTGGATTAAATGTGAGTTGGGATCCATGGGTGCTCAGTTCCCTCAGCTTCAGTTCCTGCGTGCCTCTCAGAATGAGCATCTTGCTGGGCTGAATATGCTTTTGTGTGGAAAGGCACATAGGTGTTGTGCACGGAAGCCTCTAAGCGTAAGCCATTATGTCATCTGGCGCTCCACTAAAAATACAGCCATTGAAATGCTGGAGGAAAAACAGGTTGCGTTGGGCTAATTGTATTTTTAGGAGACTCCTTCCTTCCTAAGGGATTTTAACTCTTTTTAAACTGTGAATTGTAATGCATACACACAAACAGTGAGCAATAAGATGCATAGTACACAAAACATGTAGAATACACACACAAAATGAACAACAGCAAAACTATTTATCAACAAAGCAAAACTCTATAATCACCACCCAGTCAAGGAATAACACAATGCCAGCAAACCACAGCCTGCCTAATGCTGCCTCCTAAAAAGTTAAGCTTCCAGGCAATATGTTCCAGTTTTTATACATGTTCCATGTGAGTTTAAAAAGAACGTCTATTTCTGACTATGCGCCTTAGGTTATAGTTGCAGACAGAACTGTTCAACTCCATATCGCACTGTTTTCAGTTGACTTTTTTTTTAGAGGTATACGAAAATTAAAATCTCTCATGACCATGAATTTAGTTATTTTTCCTTCTAGTTCAGATAATTTTTGTTTTATATTTTTATACTGTGTTACTAGGCACATATAAATTCAGATTTTGTTGTTCTTCTTGGTAAAATAAACTTTTTCTAATTAGGAAGTATTTCTATATTTTTAGAAATATGTTTTGCCTAAAGGCTACTTTGCCTGACATCAACATAATAACCCTTGTTTCTATTGGGTTAGTGTTCATGTGGAATATCTTTGACCATCTTTTTACTTTAACCTTTGGTAGCTTTATTTTCTTTTTATATATATATATATATATATATATATATATATATATATATATTTTTTTTTTTTTTTTTTTTTTTCCTTGTTAAAACAAAGTCCAACACTGTGTTCAAATGTTACTTGAATGAATTCTTTATTTGAGGTTTTAGTATCGAGTTAGTCATTTGTTTCTATTTTTATTCAATTTCTTAGTTTGTGTGTTTCTTTTTATTTACTTTTTGAATATGTGAAAATGTACACAGTTTGAAAGTCAAACTGTGTTCATCCAGAGAATTTTACTCTCTTCCACCACATTCTGACCCTCTTTAGCTAGCCATTTTCATTGGTTTCTGAATTATCTTTCCTGTGTTTCTTTTTTCTGAAAATAAGCCAATATTTGTGTGTGCTTTAATTTCTCCTTTCTCATACAAAAAGTGGCATGTTTATAATTATTTTACATCTTGCTTTTTTTAAGTTGAAAATATAACCTGGACATTTTCCCACTTTAGTTCATGGAGATGTTCTTTCTCCTTCTGCTCTCCTCTCCTCCCCACTTGTGAAACATTAATTTATTATGTGTATCAATTTATTCACGCAGTCTCCTATGGTTGGGTTCTTAGGTTGTTTCTGAGATTTTGATGTTTTATAGGATCTGCACAGAATGATATGGAGAGTAACTTTGTGGTTAGGTGTGATTTTGTGTTTGTGGAGTGCATTTTAAGACTAAACTGCTAGACATGGGCCTTTGTAGGTCCATGGTGAATGCACATGGGCAGAGGGGACAGCAGGTGTAAAGCCGGTGAGGCAGGAGCATGTAGCTGGTGTGCTGAAGGATTAGCAAAGAGGCCACTGAAAAACCAAGGCTAAGGATGCAGAGGGACCTGCCAAGGTCTCCCAGTAGTACCCTCGAGCAGAGCTGCATGAGAGCCCTGGCCTGCCTTCTAGCCCACTGCAGCACATTACTGGACAGGGAGGCACACCTGCACGCAGGAGCAGACTTGACCACGAGCTATGGTCAGGGCTCTTCAATCCGAGGAGGGGAAGTGTGTGGGCCAGAGGCAGGGAAGACTTCTCGGATGAGGTGGGACGTGAAGGGTAAGTAGGACTGGAGGGCAGTGACGCAGAACAGGGCCACATTCCTAGCCTTTGGATCTGGGTGAGGATAGGGGCTTGCAGGTGAAAACACGTGTGTGGCTTGCGTGGGAGATGACGCCAGAAATGGAATGCTTATCTTGGAGGAATGAAGGGAAAAGTTAGAAATGGGTAAGTAAATTGGACTTTATTATAAAGATTCTTGGATTTCAGGGGCAAATGAAAAGTTGGATTTAATCCTCTGGAGAATCACAGCAAATTTTTGAGTGGGAATGAGAGCATGTGTAACTTCATGTCTTAAAGCTGCTGAAATCAATTGATTTCAGAGATAAGGGACAGGGAGAGATAGAAACATCAATGATGAGAGAGAATCGGCCAACTCCTGCACTCCTATTGGGGACCGAGTGTGCAATCCAGACATATGCCCTGATAGGAATCAAACTGTGACCTCCTGGTTCATGGGTCAATGCTCAACCACTGAGCCGTGCCAGCCATGCTGGTTTTTATTTTTATCTTTTTTATTTTATTTTTTTTAACTTACACTACATCTTGAACAGCATCTCTCTTCAGATGAGTAAGACGAACATGCTTCAGTTAGGCGTGTGCCTGTCTTTAAATAATAACACGTCTGTCCTTTGGTGGCTGTGACCTCAGGTTCCAGAATGTCAAGGCAACATTCCTTAGAAGAGCTGTTCCCCTTTGGACTGACCCTGCTTATTGTCCAGGGAAAGGATTGCCCCGTGACCAGAGAACTATGAACTGGTTTGGAAGTGACTTCTCCAGGTTTTCCGAGGATGTGTGCTTTCTCAGTGTGCACTCTCCTCTGTCGTTCTCCCTCTTGTCATCTGAAGATGAACATTTAATTTCCAACTGGAGGTAGGGGTTGGGCGCTTCCCCTCCTTTTCTTACCCCCCTCTCCTCAGCTTCTGCTCTTAGGTTTGGCTGATCAAATCAATCTCGTACAAGGAGCCAGGGGAAACACTGGGCATGGGAAGAAAGAGTTGCTATCACTTCCCGTGTGTAGTTCAAGCGGGGGCACCTGATTAGTTCCTTCTGGCCTCGTGTGGCTCGAGAAAAGAGAAGGGCTGGCTTGGGTGGAAGGGTGTCCCTCTTCAAAAACGTTGAAGCCTGACCAAGTGGAACTATTTCTGAAGACTGCCGGGTCTTTCCACCGTCTGAGACCTGGTGGTAGTGGAACGTTCTCTGGGACAATAGAGCTAACAGTGTGCAGGAAGCTGCAGTAGCTACTTCAGTTTGATCCCTGTGGCGGCCCCTGGATAATTATTCAGTTCTTAAAGGAGCTACCAATGCCTTGTTCACAGAAAGTGCTCAGTGAAGGGTATCTGTGCTCGTTCTTTCTCCTGAGGATGTGTTTTTATTGATTTGTTTAGAAAGTGAGAAAGGAGAAGAGAGAGAGAAACATTGATCTGTTGCCTCCCATACGCTCCCTGACCGGGGATTGAACTTGCAACCTAGGTATGTGCCGTGACCAGGCATTGAACTCATAACCTTCCGGTGCACAGGATGATGCTCAAAACCAACCCAGCCACCCAGCCAGGGCTATGCTTGTTATGTTCATTATGACACTGGAGTTATATATAACCTTGAACTGGAATGTTTTAGCCAGTGCTTGTTAACTCAAATGTCTTAATACAAAATTCACGAAAGAATCTGGGTATAAAGGAAAGAATCTCAGTATTGTATTTCTTGGAGTTCAAAATTAGGTAAAACACCCCCTAAAACCCAACTTTTATTTTCACGAAGGAAAAGCTGTCCTCTTGGTTATGTGGTTTGGAACAGAGAGGAGACAGGCTGCCTCCCTGTAAGGAAAGGTGCTGCTCACGGAATGCCGAGTGAGGCAGAGGCCGGCTGCAGGCTGTCGATGGTTTATTTCAGGGGAAGATGGAATCCAGGGGCTCGGAGCTAAGAAACTCCTGAACCTTGGAGGTAATTGGAAGCTCTTGGCCTCCTGTGGGAAGCGCCACCTTGAGGGCGTCAGCACAGGGGGAGGTGCGCCCGGGCCAGTGGGGGGCGGGTCTGGAAGCTGCAGGCTGCTCTGATGCTTCACCAGCTCACACCCCAGAGCCCTGCCTGCCTGGAGGCTGGGACACAGCGAAGGCCACCTCACTGGTAGCTCTATTTGAGGAGGATGCAAACATAATGGGAGAGACGTGTGAATTCAGTTCGATTCGATTTGACCCAATTCAACAAACACATGCACCCACCTGGTTCGGGGAGCACGCTGGATTCTGGGGCCACCAGAGAGGCGCGTGTGCCCGACCTTGGAGCTCACATGGAAGCAGGACATAAAGTGGTGTAAAGGTAGTTATTTTTCAGGGCCGGTTTGAAGCCCGCACACGTTTCTTAGTGTGGGCTGTCATAGTGAAATGTCACGGGCTGGGTGGCTTGCAGAACGGAAGTTTATTTTCTCACCGTTCTGGAGTCTGGGCGTGCAGCGTCGGGTTGTGGTGGGGACTCTTTCTGGCTGCAGCCTTCTCCCTGTGTGCATATATGGATGGCCTTTCCTGCTCTTCCACGGTCAGCAATCTTATTGGACCAGACCCCACCCCATGCCCCATTTAACCTTCACTGCCCCCGAAAAGCCCTCCTGACAAATACAGTCATGTTGGGGGTCAGCTTCGACATGAATTTGGGGGACACGAATCAGTCCAGAGCAAAAAGGTGCTCACCCACATAATAACAAACATAGTCAAATGGTTCCATACCATACGTTATAGCTCTCTGTTGTTTTTTTTTTTGCAGTAAGCAAAAAACTATTTTTATGATTTTGCTTTTGAAATTATTTGGCTGCGAGTCATTTATGATTGGCTGCTGCTTCTCAGCAGTCCTACATACTTGGGATTTTTTTTTTTTAATGAAAGAATTGTAAGTTGTTTCCAAATGTAATGAAGTATTTGTGAATTCTGAATTTGACAACGAGTGAGAGTGACACAGTGCCAGGTTTTTGTGATTAATGGAGCATTAGCTGATTTCTGTTTTGCAGCTTTTCTGTTCTGGAGCCAGTACTTTTTCCCAGGTCTCACTTTTGGAGGCTCTTGGAAAGCTTGGTAGGCCCCTCAGCATTGCCTGTGCTGCCCAATGGCTAGTGAAAGGGCCCTGCTTTCCACATCTAGACGGGCAGCTCCCAGCCCTGGCCTCCCTGCCCCAGCACAGTCAGCTGTCTGCCCCCGGCTGCCTCACTGCCTAGGCCACAAGCATCCTCTTCCCTTCCAGCCTGCCTCCTGTTCTAGACAATGGCATGCTGGGATCTGAGCGGAGGCCTCTTGCTTCCGAGTTTGTGAACTGAGAAACCCTGAGGAAGTAGACTGGGTCAGTGGTGGGCAAACTCATTAGTCAAAAGAGCCGAATATCAACAGTACAACGACTGAACTTTCTTTTGAGAGCCGAAAACCGACTTCTGGGCATAGGCCACGAAGTTTCAATCACACAGTATGTGCACGCCCGCACGTGGTATTTTGTGGAAGAGCCACACTTCAGGGGCCAAAGAGCCACACGTGGCTCATGAGCCGCAGTTTGCCAACCACTGGACTGGACGATGAGGGTGAGGGACAGGACCTGGACTAATACTGCCATTAATAGCAGTGGGACAAAAGGCCTGAGAAGGCCTGAAGGAGGAGGAGGGAGGCGATGGTGAGGTCGGCTTGGGCATGCCATCCCTGGGCCCGTGTCCCCTCTTGGTGGCTCTGTATTGGCTTCATGGTCATCCTTTGGAGGAGCCGTCTTTGTGTCCTAATTAATCGCCATCCTTGACCCGCCAGGAGCCACGCGCCAGCCCAGGCCGTGGTGAAGCAGCCAGTACGGGGAGCCAGAGGCCGGACCTTGGTCACCACTGTTGTCCGGACCGGCGGGGACTGGAGCACCGGCCTCTTCAGCGTCTGCAGAGACAAGCGGATCTGTATGTTTCCTCCTCACTTAAGTTCTCCTTTACCATTTTCTCTCCTAGGACATCAGTGGGTGGGAAAGTAGCATCAGGGGCAAGGGCAGAAATTAAATGGTCTAGAATAACTGGACTAATCCTCTAGTGACTCAAATGTGCTTCTTGGCAGGGAAAACCTTGCCTTTCGGAGACGTGGATGCTTTCATAGGCTAAGTGGTGACTTAATGATTTTTTTTTTTTAAAGGGCAAAGCACACTGTTGGCAGAGACTCACGAAATGGGCTCCGTCATCTGTGGGAGTGTAAATTGGTACAACCTTTCCAGTGGATGGCTTAGTAATACATGTAAAAAGAACCTTAAGCGATGCATAGCTTTTGACCCAGTAATTACATTTTTCAGGCATTTAGTCTGAGGAAGTAAATCACGAGCAGAGATTTTGCAGCGGCACGAAGCTCTGCAGCATTGGCTATTATAGCAACAATCTGGACGACTCAATATTCAGTGAGGGCATCACACGATGAGTGATTAGACAGCCACGAGAAGTCATGATGGAGAATAGCATCTAATGGGATGGAACGATGCTTGGGATCTATTTTTAAGTTAAAGAAGCAGATTGCAAAACTATGCACCTTCGACACCATTTTGGCAGGGGAGGGATCCTTAAGAAATATATCTGGAAGGATTCAAATACAAATGTTTACAGCCAGTGGCTCCAGACGGTAGGCCAGTGAATCATTTTTATTTTATTTTTGTTTCTCTTTCTCTCTCCGGTATTTCTATGAGGAATGGGCCATACTCTTATAATAAGAGGAAACATTACAAAAGGAGCCGCCTTGATTAAACTTTGCAGACAGCGGTTCACGAGGACCAACAACACTGTCCTCCAGGGGGACTGAGGTTCAAAGCTCAGGGCCTCTATTTTTACCTCAGGACATTCTGGCCCTCCTCAGTGTCTAACTGGACCTGATGCTCTTGCCTTAGGGAGCAATTCGACCACTGAATTTTTCTTGGAGTGTGCATGTGTGAGTGAGTGTGTGTGTGTTTGTGTGTGTGTGTGTGTGTGTGTGTGTGTGTGTGTGTGTGTTTGGGCTTCCCTTTTGAAGGATAAGTATCTTATAATCATCGTAAAAAAGAAAAATACAAACGACTACATGAGGAAGAAGCAACATCCTATACTCTCTGTGCCAGAGATCACCATGGCTACTGTTTTGGTATCTACCCTTCCAGGTTTTTTTTTGCTGTATGTGTGTGTATAGAAGTCACACACACACAGAACTGTAAACACACTGTTTGGCACATTTGTTTTCACAATGTACCTCCAGGTGATTAGACCCTGTCAGCACCTTTGGAGTGAATCACTTAAATTGCTGCATAGATTCCATGGCATGAATGCAGCATAATTTATTCAAAAACTCCCACTGTGGCCCTACGTGTGTTTTCCAGACATTTTGCTAAACAAACCAATGCTCTGTGACTCTCCTCACACTGCTGTCATTGTGCGTGTGCGTGCCTCACCTGTGGGCTAACTGTTGTAAACGGTGCCCTCACATGTGCCATTCTGAACCGTGCTGAGTGCTGGCTGCCACGTGGCTCTCCGCCTGGGAGTGACTCACTGTCGGGTGGATCTTCCTATTGGTAACAAAGGTCTGCAGTTCCCGCCCACCTCTCCTCCACTCACCTCTGGGCCCCACCCTCTAGTTTGTGTAGGCTTGTGATCTGGGCTCCTCTAGGAACTGGAGTGATGAATAAGGAGCCACATCCCATGCCTGGGGGTGGAGCCCATCTCCGAGGACAGGCCAGGGCCACGCAGGCAGTGGGGTGGGCGCTTACAGAAGAGGACAGGTGGGGTTTCTGGTTCACATCCCTTGTGAGCCTAAGCATCTCTCTCTAAACAAAGTGTATGTGGTTTACGCTCTAAGTAGCATATTACACAATTGTGGTGGTGTTTCTTTTTAACTCAAATAGGTCCTAGAGATTTATTTATTTATTTAAATATATTTTATTGATTTTTACAGAGAGGAAGGGAGAGAGTCAGAGAGCTAGAAACATTGATGAGAGAGAAACATCGACCAGTGCCTCCTGCACACCCCCCACTGGGGATGTACCCACAACCAACGTACATGCCCCCGACCAGAGTCGAACCCGGGACCCCTCAGTCCGCAGACCGACCCTCTACCACTAAGCCAAACCGGTTTCGGCAGGTCCTAGAGATTTAACTGTTGGTACTTAATTGATCTTTCATTGCATTCTTTTTTTTTTTTTTAATATATATTTTATTGATTTTTCACAGGGAGAAAGAGAGAGGGATAGAGAGTTAGAAACATTGATGAGACAGAATCATCGATTAGCTGCCTTTTGCACACCCCCTACTGGGGATGTGCCCACAACCAAGGTACATGCCCTTGACCGGAATCGAACCCGGGACCCTTCAGTCCGCAGACTGAATTTGGGAGAGGGACTTTGCACTTCTTGCTGTTGGGATGGGATTAGGGTAGGGTAGGGAGGGACAGGTAGGCTGAGAAGGGCCTTTGATAGGAAGTTTTAGTGCACTAGTGATATGGTATCTCAGCATCAAAAGGCTGTGATCACTACCATTTCACACTCATTATAATGGCTAAAATAAAAGACTGACAAATGTTGGTGAGGAAGCAGAACAACGAATTCTCATACATTGTGGGTGGGAGTGTTAAATGGCACAAAAACTTGGGAGAACACTGCATTTGTTAGTTTCTTGTAGAAGTTAAACATAAATCTACCCCTTGATCCAAGCAATTCTACTTCCAGGGACCCACCCAAGTAGAATGCCCACTAAATATTTGTATATGCATGTTAATAGTACTTATTCATAATAGCAAAAGTTGGAATAATTAATGGGAAAATGGATAAATAACTTGTAGAATATTTATACGTTGGAATACTATCTATAATAATAAAAGCATAATATGCTAATTAGACTGGACATCCTTCTGGATGTCCTTCCTTCCAATCAAAGCCGTAGAGGGGGTGAGAGTGAGTAAGTAGGAGGGGCCGGAGAAGAGGCGGCAGAGGCTGGGGCCAAGGCCCTTGCATGAATTTCGTGCATCAGGTCTCTGGTTCAACAATAAAAAGAATAAACTACAGATTCACATAACAATACTGATGAATCTCAAGAAACAAGATGTTGAAGAAGTTAATTATAAAAGTATACACCATTCCACTTACATGAAGTCCAAGAAGAGGTGAAAGTTACCTTTGGGAAGAGAAATCAGGATAGTGGTGGCCTCTGGAGTTGAGGTAGGGGGAGGGTGCAGGGAGATGGGATCGTCTGGGAAGAGGCACGAAGGAACTCCAGGGTGAGGGCACGTCCTACATGTTCGGTTACTTGGTAGAATATGGTTGTCAAACTCATCTAACTGAACGTTTATGATCTGTGCCCTTTCTTGTATATAAGGTATGCCTCAATGATATATTTGTTGAAAAAATTTTAAAGGTTATGTTTAGCTTTCTTTCTGTTTCATAGTCCTAATTACCTGTATTCACCAAGTTTGTCATCTTTCCGGATGTGAGATGATGTCACATCTTAACTGTACCTCAGGGATTCTTAACCTGAGGCCTGTTGCTAGCTTTCAATGGATCCTGAACCCTGTGGAATTGAATGCACAATTGTGCATGTCATGGTGCAGATATTTTTCTTTTCCCTCGAGGAGCAAGTTCATATTCTCAAAAGGGTCTGTGACCCAAACCTGTTTAAGACAGAACTTCTATGGTAGGTGGTTCATGCAGAATGTGTAGAAAACAGGATCAGTGGTTAAAGATGAATGAATAAATGGCAAAACTGTTCCCAGTTGACGTTCAAAGAACCATGCTTCTATTAGTTTACTGATTCAAACTGGCAGATGTCAGTGGCCCCACTCAACTAGCAACCTCCTTACCTGGGAAATAGAATTAAAGTCTTGATAAGGAGCCGGCAGGATCAATGGACCAGTGATGAGCTTCCACCCCCACTTATATCATACACAGTGTCTATTTTAAATATTGAAATCAGGTAGATAAACATAATAGAGGTGACAGTTGTGATTCAACTGGAAAACATTATTTAATGCTTTCTCTTGACAGGGAAAAACAATTACTGCAGTGGCCGCTAACAGAGCTGTATCAGGTTCAGCTTTGTCAGTGTTTAACAAAGGGAGACAGTTTTGACAGGCCTCAGTCAGGGCGATTTTCATACACTGCGTTTTGAGAATTGGCTCTTCCTCCCCCTGATTGCAGGGAGAAGGGCACAGCGTTAAATTGATGGCACAGGGTGGTAAATGCTCTCTGAGGTGGAAACTTTCTCTGATCGCATCTGAGCATGGCCTTGCTTTTGTGTGGTTATTGACAGGTTTCTGTGGTCTGTTTTGTCCCATGTGTCTCGAGTGTGACATCGCCAGGCATTACGGAGAGTGCTTTTGTTGGCCGTTGTTACCTGGGTCCACCTTTGCACTGAGAGTTGGCACCAGAGAGAGACATAAAATATGGGTAAGTGTGTTTGGATGTATGTGCGAACCTGGGTCTGTGTGGGGACCTCGATGCTTTTCCAACCCGTGTAGGGTATGTCCGAGGGGGACTTACTCCCATGCAGGTAACCGATCAGGGGCCAGACCTGCTCCCCTTGTTGCATCAGGAGAACACTGCAGGTAGAACTGCATCAGCTTTGGAAGATAGATTAGGGCTGATCTGACTTAAAAGGTAGTCTGTATGGCACATGCAGAATTCACTTCCTGCGCAGCAGAGACTGAGTTACAGTGTGGGAGTGAGGACAGGCAGCATACAGATGAAGGTGTGGAGAGTTAAAAAAAGAGCGTCTCTATATATTCATATGAAATGGTCTCTAAGAGATGTTTTCAAGTGAAAAAGAGAGCCCAGCATAGCAGTTTGCAATTATTTACATAAAACACTATCTATGTATGTACCATGTAGACAGAATTCATTTGGGAGTGTAGGTAACAGACTCTAACACTGCCTCCCCTGGACAGGTAACAGTGTCTGGGGACACCTATAGAAGGGTATTTACTTTTTATTTCCTACCCCTTCTTACTGTGGGACCATGTGGACTTATCACCCATCTCAAATAAATAAATAAAATAATTATAAATATTAAGTCCTAAGGGGAAGAAAAAAGATGCTGGCAGAGAAAGCAGTGGTTTCAAATATGAAGCCTGTATCAAAGCCCAAAGAGCAGGCGTTTAATTGCAAGGACTGATTAGCAGTGAGCGGCTTGGGACTTGGGAAAGCCAGTGGAGCTGGGTCCCTGTGTGCTGACTTGGGGGCTTCAGTGGTCCTTGGAAGCTGTGCACGGGATGGGCCACCAGGTAGGATTGTAGAGGCCCTGAGTGATGACTGAGCCTGTGTGGTAGCACAGGTAGCTCTGTGAGGTCTCTGGGGGATGACTGAGCCTGTGTGATTGCACAGGCAGCGCTGTGAGGTCCCTGGGTGATGACGGAGCCTGTGTGGTAGCACAGGTAGCGCTGTGAGGTCCCTGGGCGATGACTGAGCCTGTGTGGTAGCATAGGTAACGCTGTGAGGTCGCTGGGTGATGACTGAGCCTGTGTGATTGCACAGGCAGCGCTGTGAGGTCCCTGGGTGATGACTGAGCCTGTGTGATTGCACAGGCAGCGCTGTGAGGTCCCTGGGTGATGACTGAGCATGTGTGATTGCACAGGCAGCGCTGTGAGGTCGCTGGGTGATGACTGAGCCTGTGTGGTAGCACAGGTAGCGCTGTGAGGTCTCTGGGGGATGACTGAGCCTGTGTGATTGCACAGATAGTGCTGTGAGGTCCCTGGGTGATGACTGAGCATGTGTGATTGCACAGGTAGTGCTGTGAGGTCCCTGGGTGATGACTGAGCCTGTGTGATTGCACAGGTAGCGCTGTAGGTCGCTGGGTGATGACTGAGCCTGTGTGGTTGCACAGGTAGCGCTGTAAGACCCTGGGTGATGACTGAGCCCGTGTAGTTGCACCAGGACAGACACCAGGTCTCCCCGCAGGGCACGCTGTGTGAGGACTGGCTGGCCGTGCACTGCTGCTGGCCTCTGTCCATCTGTCAGGTGGCCCGGGAGCTCAAGATGAGGACCTCCCAACTCTACGAAATCTCAGCGGCCCCTTCAACGAAGGACACCTTGGCTTGACAAAGAAAGCAAGACACTCCTCCTCCCTCCCCCTTGCCCTCCTCTCAAAACCCTCTTAGTAGAGAGATCATTCTTCTTGTTAAGTTTTCACGGAAATAGATGAAAATAAACGATTCCCCCTGCTGTGCTGTCTTGACTGCCGCTGCTGCTTTCCACCTCCCCCCAGTGAAGACTGTTTGTCTAGGCTTGCTGAGCCCGGAGTTTCGGAAGGCTGCATTTTTCATCATCTTCCCACTGCCCTCCTTTCCCGAGGCTGTCTGGGAAGCCGGGAGAATTGCTATACGGCTTCCTTATGCCAAGCCCCCTTCCCCAAAGCACCAGTGCTGGGCAGGAGGTGGTTCATTTTTGTTAGCACCTGGGCTGGGCACACAACGTCATGGAAATACAGAAGCATTATCCCGACTCCTTCATTCCGACCGCATCTTGGTTGTGGCCCATCCTGAACACCTCCCTGGAACTGGCGGGTCCTCAGCCCAGGTGCACCCCTGGTTAGGCAACTGCTCTGGGTTGAGTTGAATTGTGTGCCTTCCCCAAAGATACATTGACGTCAACCCCTGGTATCTGTGAATGGGGCCTTATTTGGAAATAAGTAGACATCATTAAGATGAGGCCATTAGGGTGGACCCTAATCCAATATGATACTGTCTTAGCAAGAGGAGAAGAGAGACTTAGAGACAGAAGGATTGCAGCCAGGACCGTGGGGCAGAGATAGAGTGATGCTGTCACAGCCAAGCTCCACCTGGGGCTACCCGAAGCTGGAAGAGGCGGGGCTTGGGGGGAACTCGCCCAGCCAACCTCTTGACTTTGGACTTCTAGCCCAAGACCCCAGAGAGAGTGTCTGCATGGTGGTACACGTTGCAACAGCCCAGGAAGATAATGCGCCTGCCCTCTACTGTGAATGTAGTGCTCTTGCTTTTGCTGCACAGAACCGTGCTGGGGAGCCTGGCTTCAGAGGCCTGAACTGGCTGCTTCCTGTCCTAAGTGTGTCCCTGGAGGCAAATGATCTCATCTCTTTGTGCCTCAGTTTCCTCATCTGTAAGGTGATGGTTCTAACCTCAAAGGCTAGGAGGGTTCTAAGAGTGAACACAGAGCCTGACAAGCAGCAGGGACTCAGGGCGTGAGCTGTTCAGCAGCTCCCTTGTATTCCTGGCACATTCAACTGCTTTTCCCTCTGCAGCGGCGATATGAAGTTTTAATTAAATTTTAAATTAAAATGGAGCCAATTAAAGAAAGGATATTAAGTAAATAATAATATAATACAGGATGTATTATAGAATTGTACACTTGCAACCTATATAATTTTATGACCCTGTGTCACCGCTATAAATTTAATTAAAAACTTTTTTTTAAAGTAAAAAAAAAAAAAGAATGCTTGGTGGATATGGCAAATATTGTGGTGGTCAAACACGAATGCTGTTGAGTACTTGCCAAGCACCGTTCAAAGCATTCTGCTTGTCTTCAGATGTTTATTCTCCAACATCCCTCAGGTAGGGGCCGTTATATCTTCATTCTCTGGAAGAGGAACCTGAACCATAGGGAGGGTAGGTGACGTGTCCAAGGCCACACAGCTGCCAAGGGATGGGCAGCCAGGCTTTGGAGGTGGCTCTCCTCACCTTTGCACTAAGCAAGCAGAGGCTTCTAGCCAGGAGGCCTGCTGGCCCCTGTGGGCTTGCTCTGCGGAGGTGACTGCCTGGTTAGAGGAAGTGCCTGTCACCGCCCCTGCTCCCCGCCATCCCCACCGAAACGAAGCATTTCCCCTCCCACGGAGTGATTCCTCTCCTTCCAGCCCTCCCTCCTGGATGTCCAGAGGGCTGCCAGGAACCAAAACCCTTTGGGAAAATGAAATGCTCCGTGCTGGCGTTTATGACGAAGCACTCCCCTCTCCCAGCCAGCTCCTAAAAAAACCGGGCCTGAGCGCAGCTCTGTTAAGTGAAATTAAGCTGTTTTATTGTTTCCTACGAAAGCACACACCGGCTTCGCAAGCGTACAGCGGGGACCAACATGTGTCTCTGGCGAAGGAGACTTGGGCAACCTCTCCGCGCGCACAGGACCGCGCCCTCCCGCGTGGAGAGCAGAGGGCATCTCACTCCTCTCGGCGGCTGTGGGGGGTGTGAGCGGAGCCCCCGCCGTCCCCGCTTCCCTTCTTCAGATGGGCCTGGGTGGTAAAAGCAAACTTCACACTTCCTTAGAGCAAACCCTAACAACGGACACCCGGGGCTCTAGAAGCACTGAGTCGGTCCCCAAGTCACAGAGCACATGGACAGTTCTTTAAAACCTGCTGCCGGAGCGGAGGCCTGGAGCAGAGGTGGGGTGAGGGGAAAGGGGGTGTTAGGGCCAACCTCTGGTTTCCTCCACAACAGACTAAGTCCAAGGGGAAAAGGACTTAACAAAGCATGTGGCTCCTTCCCCAGAAAAAAGATGCCCAACACCAGATACTGAAGCGTGAGACGAGGCTGACGTTACACCTCCCATTTCCTCAGACTTGCAGCTAGCTGCCAGTGGTCCATCGCGGAGAGGTACCCAACAGGGAAGGCATGTTCTGTGGGTCTTTCTTCTCGCTAGAAAGTTCCATGTGATTTTCCAAGATGCAAAGTGTGGAACGGGTCTCTGGGGACTCCGTGTGGGTAAACAACGCAGCAGGCAGGGCACAGTCATCCGGCAAAGGGCACATCACAGAACCAGAACCAAGCGGACCAGCCCGCCCACCCTCCCGGCTGCCCAGCGGCTCCTACAGGAGCTGAGCTGTCAGCCCGGGCCTCTGTTTAGGACCAAGAGGTGACAAGTGCGAGTCCTTACATGGCCACTACCCTACAAAATGATTTATATGTTTATATATTTTATTATCTAAGGCTTATTTATACAATAGTCCACAATCACTAGCATATTATATACTCTTTTTATAAACATTATTCGCACACAGATTTCCTCACAAAGGTTCTCTTTTGGTCTATTAAAAACACTGTACTTACAAAAAAAGAAGCAGAGCCACGAAGTTTATAGCTTTTCTGCTTATATTCCCATGGAGGAGCAAATTTTTACCCCTTTCCTCCTTCCCCCTAAACAACACCTTCTCCCCCCGACCCAATGCATAGAAGTAAGAAGCAACAATTCCCAAAGACGAAACTCAGACTTCATGGTTAGCACACTATTCCAGGGTAAACCTTTGCGCTGACCTCATTCTATTTCTTAAATATGTTTTTATCAACTTTAGAAAGAATGGAAGGGAGGGAAGGAGAGAGAGAGAGAGAGAGAGAGAGAGAGAGAGAGAGAGAGAGAGAGAGAGAGAGAGAGAGAGAAACATCGATGTGAGGGAGTAACATTGATCAGCTGCTTCCACACACATTCTGACGGGGGATGGAACCGGAAACCTGGGCATGTGCCCTGACCATCCACCTGAACCACACCGGCCAGGTCCTGGGCTGCCCTCCTTCTAATCATGATAATGCATCCTTGCCTGCTGCCCCAGCACCTCCACCACCTTTTCACTCCTAACTATTGGGAAGCTATAATCCTGGAACTGATAGCCCGGAGGTGAAAACTTTAAGGATATGGGGGAGCTTTTCTTAAGCTTCTGGGTTTGGATGGGAAGAAATCAGAGTCTTCATTTTGTGTTTTGAAGAAAATATTTGGTTGATTGATGACACAGGGGCAAGGGAGACTTTCCATCCTAAACTCTAGGAAGTTCCCGAGACGTAACACGCAGCCGGTGTGGAAGGGAGGGTGGTGGTTTCCAGCTGCTCTGAGGAGGAGAGGGAGAAGCCGCTGTGAGAGCCTGCCCCAGGGCCTGGGAGGCAAGGCAGCATCAGCCAGCGGGGGCTCATGGCTCTGGGGATTAGAAGTTGCACGGTCTCCCTCGGGTTACAGAACTTGCTCATGTGGAGGCAGCGTGCCTCTGCTTAACCTTTCGCTACATCACCCATCAAAGCAAAATCCCTTGCAATGCCGACGTTCTGGCTTTACCCCGGAGAACAGAGTCGTGGAAACCCGTTTCTAGGTAGGCTTCCAGGCCTCTTGGAAGAATCTGAAGGCAGCATCGCTGTCCTCATTGCTGCTGAGTCTAGAAAACCTGGATTCACCCTGGAGGACATGGGACCGGCCTTTTAGTCCCAGGGGTTCAGAGAGAAGGGCTGGCTGACAGTTGGCAGCCCCATCATCGACCACATGTGAGATGTCATCACCGAGTTACCCTGCCTGCTTTCTCACTCACCACTGGGCAGATACAGCCAATGCTTTGGGGCTTCTTGCTGCCCCCAAGGTGAGCTGAGAGAAGGGTGTGGGTAAGTTCCTCATGCTGTGAGGGGACGGGTGCCAGCTTCACGCAGAAGAAACATTTCTGTACCCGCACAATGCAATCCTTACTCTGCTCACGGCTGGGCCGCTGTTTGCTGCTGCTTACGGGCAGGCCTGCATGGCAGACAGGATGCTTCGGTGCCAAGTGATGATGCTGAACTTTAAAACAGCCAACATATCCCAGTGATGCTGCCTTCCTGTCATGGTCTTTGGCAATCAAAGCACGTTGTGCTTTTAAAAACGAAATCCTTACTGACGTCTTTAGGGAGAAGATGAAAGGGTATGGCTCAACGAGTCCCGGGGTATTTGTGAGTTGCATTTATCTGTGTTAGCACAGACAATTTGAAATTGCCTATTTTTTTTGTTTTGTTAATCCTCACCCAAGGATATTTTTCCCATTGATTTTTACAGAGAGTGGAAGGGGGGGAGGGGAGAGAGGAAAATGGGAGAGAGAGAGAGAGAGAGAGAGAGAGAGAGAGAGAGAGAGAGAGAGAGAGAGAGAGAGAGAGAGAGAAACACTGATGTAAGAGAGACACATCCATTGGTTGCCTCCCCCATGGCCTCCACTGGGGCTGGCAATCAAACCTGCAACCCAGCCAGGTACGTGCCCTTGACTGGGAATGAAACCCACAACCCTGGTGCAACACTCTAACTGCTGAGCCACACTGGCCAGAGCTATGATTACAATTATAAAACCCGGGGTAGACTATCTTCTAATGACTTGCCCTTGAAGGTGACTTACTTCTGAACCCAAAATAATGCATTTCTATATCTTTAGACTTGAAATAGCGTCTCTGTGAGCATTGCAGTCTGTGGCATCTCTCTCACAACATCATGGATTTTTCTTGTCTGAGTTTCTTTAAGTGCCAAGTTCTGTTTCCCTGGTCAGGATGTTCATTGTGTGTGTGTGTGTGTGTGTGTGTGTGTGTACAGGATGGAACTGGAATGGGAAGATGGGGATGTGGCAGAGGGAGACAGGAGCTCGGGCGGCAGTTGAGGGGTGAAGGACGGGAACACTGTAGAAGCATTGGCCTCTCCGGCCCGAAATCCCGCAGGCAGGACATTACGTTCCCCCTGTGCTGCTCTAAATCCGCGCTGAGCCAGGCCAGCCGCAGAGCTGAGGGCATTCATTTGTCAGGTCGTGCTGAGGTGAGACACTGGCAAGATCAAGTTTGACTTGGACAACAGAATGTCTGGTGTAACCTGAGACAGCACACGACCTGCTTGTTTTTCTCTCCCCAGGCCCACCGTTACCCTCTGTCTTGGAGGCCAGCCTATTGGTACTCCTGTACTATCCCCGATGTCCAAGCAATATCACACGGTCCACAAACTCTCCATTGAGCAGTTTCCATCCAATCAGATCGTTGGTTCTCGTCAGTGTCCCCGTTGTTGCTAGCTCCTCCGGGAAGATTACCAAGGCAGGGTCTGTGAAGGGGAAAAGGATTTCAGAATCTCTTGTGTGTGCATGCATCCCGGGAAGGCATAGTCCTTTAACATTTTTATATGTCTATATAAGAGAGAGAGAAGCAAAACAGCAAACTGTTCATCTCTAGGGAACCTCGCTGAAGGGCATACAGGACTTCTTTGCACTATTTTAGCAACATTTTTATGTCTGAAATTCTTTCAAAAATAAAAAGTTAAAATCCAAAAGCCACCAGGATTTCTCTGAGGCCTCGAAAATTCTATTCTGATGACCAAGCTCGGCCTGCATTTCTAGCAACCCTCATGTATAACTAATGTCTGCCCTCCCAGGCAGCCCTTGGCCCCTTTTCTCCTCCTGAGGCTAAGAATGGCCACCAGGAAGTGCAGCCAGCACCTGGGGGCCCTGTCCAGGTGAGTGCAGGTCGTTTGAATGTGCATCACAGGAGCGGGCGGCTCCCTGCCACTCGGCTGCCAGTGCTGGGCCCTCTACCCTCTCAGTGCAGATCAAGTCCCAGCTGACCACGCTGAAGGGGACAGGAGAAAGCCAAAAGGATGATGGGAAATGGGTCCAATAACAGAAAGACTTGCCTTCTAAAGACCCAGCCTCAGAGTTTGTCTGCAAGGGAGTTCTCCTGAAAACCCAGCAAAACAGGAGATGAGTGAGAGAAGGAGTTTCCCATCTTCTGCCCAATTTCTTTCACCTGAGGCCTGATTTCTTTTCTCACCTAGGGCTCCTGTTGATCTAACTGGCCAGTTTTCTCCTTGGGAAACTTTGATGACGATCACAGCCTCATTCTTGGCGGGGTGGCACGGGACAGTCAGATCTTGCCGACCAAGTTTATGGGAGCCGCTAATTTTGGGGAGTCTTACCCGAACTCCCACTCTCCAACAGCAGAACAGTGTTCTGTGGCTCCAGAAACACTGAGCACTGAAGGAGCCCGAGCTTTCAAGCAGGCAGCCACATCTGGCTCAAAACTGAGCTCCCGAAGCCTCAAATGCCACGCGCCAGGACTCCCCCGTCAAAGTCCCCCCACGCCAAGAAGTCACACATGATCTCACTCATTTGTGGATTATAATGAACAACATAAGCTGATGAACAAGAACAGATCCAGAGACAGAGAAACATTGATCAGATGCTCAAACCTCAGAGGGAAGGTAGGGGAAGGTGGGGGTAAGGGGAGGGATCAACCAAAGGACTTGTTTGCATGCATATACGCCTAACCAATGGACTCAGACACCAGGGGGATGAGGGCATGAACGGGTTTGGGGTGAGGTGGAGTGGGGGCAATGGCGGGATAAGGACCCATGTGTAATACCTTAATCAGTAAAGAAAAAAAAAAAAAAGAACTCACAGATCTGGAGCTATGCTGTCCTCCCCGTGCACCACCTAATGGGGGCAGGAGTTTCCTCCTGCTATTGGCGCCTTTCAGTCCTCACAGGGGAAGGCGCTGTGTTAGACGGAGCCTGCTTCTTTCCCTGGGCCTAAGCGGGGGATGCTGGGCAGCTGCCTCTGGACATGGCTCAGCCTGTGGGCCCGGGGACGGGCCCTCTTTGCTCTGTGGACCAGGCCTGGCATCCATAGCCGAGATACTGTCCCTCTGAGCCTGAAGGCCAGGTTTTTCGAGATCACTGCCCCTGGATCCCTGGGGAGAGGTGGTGGTTTGTCTGCTCCTTTAACTACATTTATAGTGAGGTAGCATTTCTGAGCGAGTGCAGGGGCAGGGAAGTAATAAGGAGGTAACTGCCAAGCGAAGGCTGGCTGCACATTGATTTGACCTTCCAGGTTGTGCTAAATGATGTAGAAAGAACTTCAATTCCAAGATCGACTGACATTTTAATAGGCACCGAAAACCCCATCAACGGGGAGGCGGAAGTCACCTACAGCCGGCATTGCGCAGGGCTGGGCAGCAGCCCTTGTTAGTGCTGTGTCTACAGGCGGGGCTTGGGGATTAGGCAGGTAATAATTCTTTGTTTATTGAGCATGCCGAGGACAAGCAGAAAACTTGGAGTAGAAAACTCTGATGTCAGCAAGAAAGCTTGCTCCCAGTGTGAGCGAGGTGGCAAGCGGTTAGCAGCGCAGACCCGAGCCAGATTGCCTGGTTTTGTTTCCAAAGTCTAATGCCTGCCTACGTGACCCTGTAGATTAGAAATTATTTAATCACTCTAGGTCTTGGTTTCCCTATTGGTAACCTGGGGATAGTAACAATATTTACTTTGTAAGGTTGCTGTGAGATTAAAAAAAAAAAAAAAAAAAAAAAAAAAAAATATATATATATAATTGATTGTTTTTTTACAAAGAGTAAGGGAGAGGGATAGAGAGAAACACTGAACAGCTGCCTCCTGCACACCTCCCACTGGGGATGTGCCACAACCCAGGGTACATGCCCTTGACCGGAATTGAACCTGTGACCTTTCAGTCCACAGGTCGATGCTCTATCCACTGAACCAAACCGTTAGGGCTGTGGTGAGGTTTTTTAATCAGTCAATGTAAGGAAAGCAATAGAACAGTGCGTGGCCCATAGCAGGGGTCTGTAATTGCTGGCTCAAGAACTTCAACTGTTATTATAAATGAAAAGACATCTTGAAGGTTATTTATTGTGATCCTGCTTCTTGATTATCTCAATGGGAAACCCTTCAGGTGGATACAGATCATCCAACTGACACATTGCCACACTCATTGCTTGTTTCTTTTGTCTTAAAAATCGAAGTCTCAGTTTCCTGAATTGAGTTCTTAAAATCTTACATCCTAACCTAAACAGGAGGATAATGATAGCTCACTATAGTATTTATTTATGTAGTTGTTGTGGGATGGACTTTATTTTTTAATCCCAATTTGTAGATGAAAAAAAAATTGAGATTCAGAGAGGTGAGGTGACTTTCCCAAAGTCACACAGCAAGTCACACTGGAAGTACAAATGAAGTGTTCCGATTCTATAGCCTGGGATCTTAACTGCTGGGCCAGAGAGAAAGGCATGTAGAGAAGCAGGAGGAAAAGGAGAAGGAGGGAGGGAGGGACAGGGAGAGAGACAATAACTGATAACTTGAATGAATAATGGCATGGAAATTCAATAAATATATCCTAATAACAACAAATGAGATGACATTTCCTGTCTTGTCTGCACAATTCCAAACAACCATTTTGACTTGCTTAGAAAAAAAGAAAAGAAGACAAATTGCTCTGACTGGCTGTGCAGCCATTGTTTTAAAGTGCCAGGAGGGCCAATTTCTTCGGAAGAAGGTGAGTTCTTAAGCTCTTGCAGCCCCGGATGCCAGTGTATGAGCTAGGCCCCTTGTTTCAGAGCTGGGGGGCGGGGGGGGGGGGGGGGTGTGGGGGGGTGTGTGCTGGAAAAAATGCTGTGCCATCACCCCCAAGTTCATCCTCCTTATGAAGGCCCTTCTGGCAGGAAGAAGCAGACTCATCCATTGTCCACTTGGTCGTTCAGCACATATTTATTGTATGATCAAAAATGTCTGATTAATGAATGAATTTCCTCAACATGTTGAGCTCAGTCCTATCTGCCTCACCACACTGGATGTCTAGTTTTCTCTTAGCTTTCAAATCTCAGCTCAACGGTCACCTCCTTGGAGAAACCTTTCCTGGCCACCCTCTCTCATAGCTCATACCCCTCAGCCATTCTCCGTCCCATCATCTTGTTTCCTTGACACATGTCACATAGAAATAATTCTGTGTGTTTGCTCATCATTCACCCCCCTTCACGGAGGCAGAGACCCTACTTGCATTGTTCACTGAGGTACTCCAACTGTATGGAACAAAGCCTGGTACACAGTAGATGGTCAGTCAATATTTGTGTAATGAAAATGAATGAGACGACATTGATTTCTGTGCAGGAGGAAGAGTCTGTGACTTTTAAATGGAGATGGAGTGAGAGGCAGCATGTGGGCCTGGAGCCTCTTGGTCATGGTGACATGTCCGGCAGGGGTCTGAGGAACCGGAATGTGCACTTTCTGAATTACAAAGTGTGCCAGGGACCTTTAATTTCTGTTAATTGGCACCAAGGAGGAGGGTTGTTATTGAACTCATCAGCCAGCTGGAAGCCTGCCTGGGTCAGACCTGTTTGCAAATCAGAATGGACGTTTCCAAAGCCTGGTCAACCTTGTGAAGCTGTAAGTCCCCCAGAGGGCGGTACCCGTGTGCTCATGGTGGCATCCAGGGGCACAGACATCCCTAAACTTTCCATCTCCAACCGATGAGGGGGCGAGGTCACGGTGGGGACAGCCAGGAGAGAAAAGACACGTGAGGGTTTTGGCATAAGACACATTTAAAAATAGTTGTCCTTTTGCCGCAGCCCGGGTACCAGCTTATCTGAAAGCCAAGGAGCGTGAAGAAGCTGCGAGTTCAGAGCTGCCCCACTGGTTCCTCACTGTGGCCTCAGGCAGGCGATTTGGTCTTGGAGCTCCAGCTGCTTGGTCTATAAATAGGGGGGGACGACACTTGACTCGTGGGGCTGGTGTGAGGATCCAAGGAGGAAATGTGCATGTAAATAATAATGATAACTGGGGGTACAGAGTGTTTTCTATGTGCCGGGCCCTATGCTAATTGCTTCATGCACGGTATCGCCTCTGACCCCCACCCAGCCCTCAGGGAGAGCACAGTTAGTACCTGAATTTTACAAGGGAGGGAACTACGGCCTGGGGAGGTTACATGACTCGCCTTGGTGACACCGCGAAGTCACCTGACTCGCAGTGCTCTTGTAACCCCCCTCTACTTGGCACTTAATACACATCGAATGAACAGCAGCTCTTAACATTCTGTCCCCGGAGTTGGCATTTCTCTTGCTCGCCTGCTTTCAAGCCTTTGTCACACTCTTCCTCCAACTGCCACCACTTCTAGGGCCCCTCTTGTTCACAAGCATCTGGCCTACCTATCTCCCCTCATCTTCCCAACCCCTATGAAGGACTGATCACTTTCCACTCTGCAGGCGAGGAAAGAAAATCTCAGAGAGGTTAGTTAACTTGCTCCACAGTCACACAGCCAATAAGTG